TATATTTTGTACGTAAATAATTTTGAAATTATTTTTTAATCATCATACCACCAAGAATGGGATTCAGAACAGCTTAGTTGAGCCAAACCATGTACTGTTACCCCTCTACATAGAAAACTGTGTAAAGAAGCAGTTTCTTAAAGCTATTCCAAAAGACGGAGATTGTTTCAAATACATGTGCAAAAAAATCACAGGTTAATTCGAACCCAATTTAAAAAAAGAGGAATTTTTTTTGGTCCAGATATCCGAAAACTTGTGAAAGATAAAGAATTTGAGACTACCATGACAACAAAGGAAACAGAAGCTGAGGTTGGTTGGATTAAACTACATTTCCGTTACTTCCGTGTGCATTCCCCGTTCCTCAGAAATTTAGTATAAGTCAGCGAAGAACAGGGCGTACGCGACTACCAATACGGTGCGTAAATATAAAGGATAACTGGAAAAAAATTCTTCTCGCGCGTCTCAACTACCACAGGATGATAAAATGAGATAAATTTAATTCAAAAAAAAAAAAAAAAGTCCGCATTTAAATGGAAACTTGGTTTAGTTTTGCTTTTTGCGGAAGTTAAAATTTGTCTCAAACTTTCCGGAGCTCCATTAGAGAAAAAAACTTTCATATACACAGGTATAATATTTTTTACTTTTGGGGTCAGTCGTTCGTTTTAAAAAAATTAGTTTAATAGAAACAAATTAAAATTACATGTTGGTGATCTTCTAGAAACTGTGCATTAATTGGATGTAAAAAGTTTAAACTTTACTGAAACTTCTTTTTTTTTTCTTAACCAGAGGCAACATGCGAGAACTGGCAATAATGTTTTTTATTAATAACCATTATCAAGAACCAATATTTACATAGATTTTTAATATTTAAAAAGATGCACTGTTTCTAGGTAATACATGCTAAATTGTTCAAGAAAATTATTTTTTTTAAACAGGATTTGAACAAAAATATCGATATTGAGCTTAAAAAATCTGGACGTGATGTAAAAAATGGTGGTGTTTTTGACATCAGCACAACCAATAATACAAATATCACCGAAAACCTCTTTTATGTGTTTTAAAAACTTCAATTTCGCAGGTCTCTGTATTGTTATGTAAAGTGCCTGCTTTAAAATCTATGCTTATGTAAAATTCTTAATTTAACTGTATAATTATCTATAATTAGCAAAATTTCGTTAGTGGTAATGTTATATATGGAACTTTGTAATATTTATCATGTTTCTTTGAATCAGCTCCTACGCTTAGATGCAACTGATATTTTTATAAATGGGTTAAGAAGATTTTTTATTACCTTTATTTTGATTTTTCTGAGTCATTGGCTTCAATTCTTGTTCGTCACAGCTCTTGCAATCTTTTGACTATAAATCTATGATCCTCAAAAACCATTTTTCTTTGTTGGTCTTTCTGTGATTGCCGTCTCCGCTTTCTCTATTTTGCTAGCATTTTACTTGATCTTTTTATGAGAATCCACATCCGAATAGGAAGGAAGCAATTCGTCATTACTAGGTAGAAATAAAAAGGGGTTACATCATTGAAATCTTTGGTTTTTACAGTCTCCATTTTTCCAACCAGAATTAACCGACTTTTCAATTTCCTGCTTATGACACAATTTTAGGTTTAAATAGCTCTTTCAACCTATTCAAAGTGTAGGAAGATTTACGGTGGATTGATTTAGACTTTAATACCTCCAGAATTTTTTAAATCTAGAGAAGATTTACTCCATCTTCACTCTGAACTTCTTAACCAACGAAATAACCATGCTGAACTCTCGACCATTGACTATGCATAGTCGTAACTCCCAGTTTGATATTGTTGCATGGATTGTACGATAGGAAACAACAATGATTATTCGAATAACATCCTTTAACTGTTCACTCAAATATAGTTCTTAGAATGTTATAATTTGTAGCTTTATAAAGATGTCTCAAGATATATTACTTTTCTTTTTCCATTCTCATGCTTGGATTGACTTGATCTTCCCTGATACTGCGGTCAAAAAAAGTATTCGACATGCGAAAATTTTCTGCATATATTGGATTAAAAAATGAAAACTGTAAAAGAAAACAAGAACTTTTTATTTATTTTAAGCCAAATACCATTAAGTATTAAATGTTGCACCTTTTGCAATACATTAAAATATAATAAATTAACAAAATCCCAATTATTTCATTCAAAGGCAGTTACGCAAACAAAAAAATTATTCGAAGAGACATAAAAATAAATGAAAATATACAAATAACATGAAACTAATATATAGTTGCAATGGACTAAATTCATGATGGTCACATGATAACGGCAATCACATGTTTCCCATTGATTAAAAATTGACAAACTAGTTTTTCAACTTGTTAAGTCTATAGAACATTTAAAATTTGATATGATTGGGTAAAGAGTTCACGTGTTAAAATTCTTCAAACAATTTTCAAAATTAAAATAAATTCTTACATTATACGCATACTTTTAAATTAACACAGATTGTCCATTATGCCATTACTTACGACAATATTTCCCTCCCCTGAAGCCGCCATACACCCCTGAACCATTATACCACCTCCTCCTCCATGGTTTACTGTGGACAACACGTTTCGTTCTTCCGAGTCTGTATTGCATTTCCTGTACAATATAATTTTGCATCGCATCCAAAGAAATTAAATTTTCTCTCGTCTGCAAAAATTACATTGTGCCAGAATTCTACTGGTTTGTTTGCATATTTTCTAGCAAATTCCAGTCTTTGCACTAGGTTCTGTTTGGATATATATGGCTTCTATCGAGAACTTCTAGCCTTAAACCCATTATTATGCAGGTAATTTCTAACGGTTTGGGGCGTAACATCAATGCCTAAACAATTCTTGGTAACTTTTGCTCAATTTGATGCATTGGTTTTGTGGTTCCTTTTTATTCGTGCAAGCCATTGCTCCGCCACTTGGGAAAGTTTTTTGATCAACCAGATATTGGCTTATTATCAGCCGATTTTTGCTCTTAATAATTTTTAATTATATAATGAACACTTGTCTTGGCCTATTTACAATAGCCGAAATTTTGTCTTTATGATTAAATTTTTAATTTCTACTGACAACTCTCCTTGTATTCGGCCCATCTAGCTCACTTCTTAAAAAAAGCTTTCTAAATATCCTCAGAAATTGTCCAAATGCTCTGAATTACAAGAATTTAAAACCACACTTAAAGGTAATTTTGCTTCTCGGTATAAAATTTAACAAAACCACCTATCTCGAATAATTATTCTGCTTGCCAAACTGCTTTTGAAAATTATAATGGCGATTTATTAGCTTAGGTTTGTTTTTGTAAGTACAAAACTTCTACAATAGAAACTGAACTGTTTTATGCACCTAATAGCGAAACATGGTCTCGTTGCTGTTGCATAGTAAGGTGTCTTAAGTCAATATTCGTAGAAATCGTTGCATGTCGAATACTTATTTTGACCACTGTATTTCCCATTTGAAGATTTTTATTTCTTTTCATCGATATGCCTCCTTCATATCTTTTGATTCGATATCTGATGCATGATCCTTAAAAAGATTTTACTGGTTTCAGTCTCCTGTTTGCCTATTTTACTGGAATTTTTCTTTCCCCTTTTATCCAAATCCATATTCAAATCAGAAAGAAACACCTTAAACTTGTCTGAGAGAGAGAGAGTAAATTTTTTTAAAAAAACTACTTCATTTATTTTTAATTTTTACTATCTCTTTTCTTGGACAAGAAAGAAAATCGCATTTTTTTTTTATTTCTTGGTTTAGCATTTGACTAAAATGTAGAATAGGTGGCTCTTTGATTTGGCAATATTTATCTATATCTCATGGTGACATCACAATATCATTCGGGCAGATTGTATAATTTGGTAGCCCTTGTATTTCGAATCGACGTCCTAAGCAGATAAGGTCACGTGTTCTTTTTACTTAATTACTACTGGTAATTTGAAATTTGCAGATGTTTTTAAAAAGGTAGAGACGCTTTTCAAATTAAAAAGTGAATCGTTTGTTTATTCTCTTCAATTGGCGTTTCCATTTTTTTTTTTTTTTTCTTGTTGAACCTGCAGGAACTCGGAACTTTCTATTGAAATATTTCATATATCAAGTTTTCTTTTTTGAAAGTAGATCCTTCAAATAACCCTGGATAGTATACCTGAAAAATATGATCTAGGTTTTTGAAGTTATAATTTTTTGTGGCGTTAGAGAAATAGGATGAGGGTAAATTTTTACAATGCGCGCGCAAATCGTAATGGATGTGACGCAAAACCGTCACGGAAGTGACGCACATCGTCAGGGATGGGAAATTGCTTTGTCTAGAAATATACAGAATGGGACAGATCATTTCCACCTTCAAAATTCTCAGTAAAATATTTCTATTCACTTCCTTCGAGAAGGAGAAGCCCGGGTTTGAACCGGAGACCTCTCAATCTGCAGTCGAATACTTTACCACTGACCTATACACCCCGAGTCAGCGAACATTTGCTTCGCGTTCCGTAGGAACGCATACGAAAATGCTTTGAATAGAAATATACAGAACGGGACAGATCATTCCAGCCTTCAAAATTCTCAAAAAAAAAAGAAAAAAAATTCTTTTCACTTGCCTGAAGAGGACACCCGGGTTTGAACCAAGAACCTCTCGATCTGCAATCGAATGCTCAATCACTGAGCTATAGCCGCATGTAATGTAAATCTTTGCTTTGCGTTCCTTACGAACGAATTCGAAAATTCTTTGTCTAGAAATATGCAGAACGGGACAGATCGTTCCCGCTTTCGAAATTCTCAAACAAAACATTTCTCTTCACTTCCCTGAAGAAGAGGACACCCGGGTTTGAACCGAGGACCTCTCAATCTGCAGTCGAATGCTCAACTACTGAGCTATAGCCCGCAAAATCTAAACCTTTGCTTTGCGTTACTTACGAATACGAAAATGCTTTGTCTAGAAATATGCAGAACGGGACAGATAGTTCCTGCTTTTGAAATTCTAAAAAAAAATATTTCTGTTCACTTCCCTGAAGAGGGCACCCGGGTTTGAACCGAGGGCCTCTGAATCTGCAGTCAAATGCTCTACTATTGAGCTATACCCCCGCGTCAGCGAACCTTTGCCTTCCGTAGGAACGAATACGAAACTGCTTTGTCTAGAA